CCACATTGGTTCTCGTACTTCAAGCGATCATACTTGAGCTTCCGTTTACCACAACTGATGAGTGAGTTGATGAATGTTTATATGTAAATAAAAGCCTAAATTAAATTAAATTTTCTCACCGTTGAGACAAATTGGACTAAACCAATCAATTCATGTGGATTAGTTTTACAATCTTTTTATGAACTTTTTGAAGTGTCAGTGGTAGTCGTGTAGACCGTCAACGGAGAGACGAGTACAATAATCTTTATTTCAAAAAGATCTTCATTTGTGTTCCGAAGATGAACGAAAGTCTTGGGTTTGGAATGACGTGTGGGTGAGTAAATGACAAAATAGTGTTGTCAAAAAGTACAGACTTCAGTACCAAGCCTGTACTGACATTTTTTAACGTGATGCTTTGAGCGTTGTAAACATCCGATTGTGCATTGTGCTCACTCGTCTTTCAAATATGCTTGTGATTGGCTACAATGATCAGCAGTGCTTCAAAAACATGTCGTAAATACATAAATTATGCTATTCACAAGCTCTCGAACATCAATTACGCTATTTACCGAGAACTAAAACGCTCCCGTGCATGAATAATTGTAGCCAATCACAGACATATCCGATAAGCATGTTTAAGATTCTGCTCAAATCGTCAAATTTTTGTAATTTTCAGTGCCGAAACAACACTATGGCAATGGCAAAATTTTTATTTTTGGGTGAACTAGCCCTATAACTTTTTTTTTTCAAATTACTGTGTGCCACTTGTTATTACAAAATATGATTTCCTATAAGCAGCACATTATAATTCCTATAATGACATAATTCTCCATTCCAGAAGTAAACACAAAGCACTAACTGTTTATTGAATAACAACACGGTGTATGAGAGGAAGTGAGACACACACAGTGAGAAAAAGGCATGGTAAAAACGAGAGATACAAAATGAAATGGTCTGCATTCCTCATCATTCTGCATTCAAAAGAAAGAGTCTGTAGCATTAGTCTGGACAAGATTGTACTTGCCTCTCTGTATGAAAGTCAGAGAGAGAGAGAGAGAGAGAGAGAGAGACACGAGCAATGTCAGAACAGGAAGAGGAAGTGGTAAGGCACCCCCATTGTTTCAGTTATTATCCACCCAAATGACAAATCTGGGAGAAAGGCACATCACCAACTTATACTGAGTAACTTATTGCACAGTGTACAGGTGCTACAGTAGTAAGGGGATGCCCAAGCCTTAAAATACCGGCAGTACCACACACAGTTTTTTTCAAAACCGTAGTACCGTGAAGCATGGTAGAGTATATTCTTATGCACTATATCAAGCAATACTCAAGCTGAACATATTGGCATTTTTAAGTCCAGTATTTTAGGTGCCATTTACACTGGACCCGTGACGAAGCACGATGGAATGAAACACAATGTGAGAATTTGACAGCATCTTTTGACGGAAATTAAAATATATGTTCAGAACTGTACTATTTATTTATTATCACTGCAATAATTATGATACAATTTCATGCAAACTGTATACAGAATATCCCCTGCAATAACAACACATCCACATGATGAAAGAAGTATTGCAATACTACTTGGTATTGACAACCGTAACATGTACTAATCTAAACAGTTAATGCAACTTAAATGATCACTTCTAAAATGCACAGGATGATAGTACATATTATAGATAAAACTTGCTTCGAGATTTTGAATATTGCAGATCGTGTACATAGCCAATCCAACTGGCTTTCGTGACAACCTAATCATTCTACCTTTTCCACGGAAGTACAGTAATTAGGAATAGCTTTGTAACGGGTTGTACCACCTAGCCAAAAAGGCCTGAAGCTCTTTATTGTTGACCTAAAACTTTTTGCAACTAAGTAACAGTATTATTGTCTTCCTGTTTTCCATTATGAACTACAGTAACATAATACCACAAACTGCTACAACAACAAGCTTGTGTTTGGCCATTCCAAGTGTTAGACCTATGACAAAATAATCTATATAACAAAATAATCTGATTCTGAACTGAACTGATTTAAAGGATTATACAACATTATACAGTGGTGAGTTTTCAGTCCAAATAATAGGTAAATATTTTAAAATGCAACAACCTGGTTGTCCAGCATCCTTAATATACAAGCTACAGTTAGTGCAAAGTGCAGCTGCTAGAGTTCTTACTAGGTCAAGAAAACATGATCATATAACACCAATTTTATCATCTCTACACTGGTTACCCATTAAGTTCCGTATCAATTACAAAGTATTACTATAAAGCCCAAAATTCAAGGCTTTTGGTCAGGATATCTAAAGGAGGGAGGGTGTTCTAGCTACTAAACTCCAGAATACCCTTCCTGATATTGTTCAAGGCTCAGACTAGCTGTCCCAGTTTAAAACTAGTTTAAAGACATCTCTTTAGCCAAGCATTCACATAATGCTTACCTTTTATACTGTTGAATTAGATCGAATGCATTAATATTATGAATAGCAGCTATGCTAATTATTTCCCATCTGGGACACTAGTCCCGAGGTAAATAGCGTTCGTCAGCTCCAGATTGTATCCAGCCTCTCACAGAGTCTTCAGATGCCCAAACACCTGCAATGAGATGACTAAACGCCTGTGAAGAGATGACTCACGCCAGCGATTAGTTATGTAATTAATACATGATTAACTAACTGTTTTTTTCTATGTACATTTCTGAAATGCACTTTCTATAAAGCTGCTTTGAAACAATATGTACTGTGAAAAGCGCTATACAAATAAATTTGAATGGAACTGAATTGAATTGAGTCAAGGAAACAAGAAATGAGAATGTTTACATAAAACAACACTGGGATGAAACCAAAGTACTTTCAGCTGATAAAGTAGTACAGGCAGGTTAACTGATGACTGCAATTTCTCTTCAAAATGCATCCAATAAATATGAACAAGGCTCACTCCATGAAGGTTAAACTAATCTAATCCCAGTTCACTCTAGCTGTCAGACGGTCGTAGCTAGGAACTACATCAAGACTAACGATGATGCTTAAGTGCTCCTCACTCAAAAAAGTAATGGACTACAGTGGTTTTCTACACAACGAATTACCTGGAAGACAAACATAAAATGTAAACAATGAACTACATCCATTTACCTTGACAAACTGTAAAAACAAACCGAGTCTGAAATTAAAGATAGCCTAATTTATGCATGGACAAGTACAAGGGCAACAATTTGTACTCAGGAAGTTTATTAAAGTACATCAATAAAACTCATAATAAACCCTATTTGTTTCTGCCTGCAAGGGCTTATAAACGTATCAAACATTATACAGCAAGTAATTCCTGGCTCAAATTTGATAGGTTGAGTGGTATTTTAAGAGTGCAGTTATTTAATATGACAGCAAAGGGATAAAGACCGGGGAATGTGAATGGTGTAAAAATTGAAGTGTTCTGAAATTGAAGTTACGGTTTTCTCTCATGAATAGAAGAGGTGAAATTTAGCTTGCAGCAATTAGTATTTTTTCCTCACCGGGGTTTCTCTCACCAGTGACATACAAAACATGGGGTGGAGCTACAGCCCAGCGATTATAGAAGGCCTGGAGCAAGGGGTGCAAATCCACTGATCCAGACCAGGCTTTCAGTTTGTTTGTTGGTTAGACATTAGTAAAAGTTGTTGCACTGGTTTATTTTGGAACCATTTTATTTGTCAGACCGGAACTCTATATTAGTTATTTGTGTATTTAACTATTGTATAAATGCAATATGACAATCGCGCGGAATTAGAGCCGCCGTGCTACTATGCAGTAAAACATATGTAATATTAGCTACACATTATTTGTGTAATATTAATCAAATTCATAATAAAACACTCAAGACTCGTTTTACCTGCATGCTACGAACTACTGTTGATGATCAGCTTATTATAAATGTATGAAATGAATTGCAATAGCGCTTATCGTCATTGCTGATCAGGCTGAATCAATAACAACCCAAACGGTGATTATGTCGACACTGCTTTTGCATGTACTGCAAACATTTGTCAAGACATTACAAGTAAAGTTATTAAACTGTCAAAGACTGAGAGCAATTTTATTTGCTTATTCAAAACATATATCGGTTCGAGGACAAGATATAGATTCAAATATTATCGTTGTTGTCTGTTTGTTGAAAATTGAGGCGCGGGTCGACGGAAATAATAGGAATGCTGGCAAAGGTTACATTGTAGCCAAACACAACATTCCTCTTGCTGAGCAGAGGCAAACTGGCAGGATCGCATCGCTCGCGGAACATGCTAGTAATCATGCATGCGAATGCTCCCTCTGATGACAAATCACATCATTGAGCACAAGAAAAATAATAAAATCTAAACAGACCATAATCCATATATTTAAGCTTAAAACTTACCTTCTGAAGGTGAGACGAGGTGACAAGCGCCTCTGAAGGCTTCCTGTTCTAAAGTTGTCGTATGTCGGTGGAAAAAAACATTGTACGCGGAAGTGGAGACAAAATTTTCAAGCGCGCGACGTTTGACAGCAGATATAAAAGCAGGAATAAATCATTCTTCTTAATGTGTAGATGATCATTAAATATGTTAAATAACCACCAAGGGCACTCGACTGAAAGCTATGTGTATTTTGCGTTGGAAACGTAACTTTTCGTCGTCCACTGCCTCTTCCTGTGTGACTTGCGACCACCAGAGGCCGAAAGATGTCCAAAAAAATCTTTCATGCATGCCCGTATGGTTCCGTTCAGTGTTACATTAAATTTGTTCCCCTTCATTTGAATGGCTCTTAAACGTGTGGCTGTGGCATTGCTATTGACATATTCACGATTTATGAATGTGAACACGAGCCAAATCTGTGTTTGGGGTGTAGCCTATGATAGACTAGTGAAACTCCACGATAGATTACATTTTGTTTTATTTTTTAAATATACTGCACTCGTAGCGACTTTTGTATGCACAGGAAATATGGTAGCCCTGTTAGGTCTCTAGTTGTTTATTCATCATTTCCATTTATCTATTATTTTCAGAAATGCAGCGAGTTGTACCTGACAGAATGTAGACTAGGCTACCTCATGAAACTTTTGACACAGACAGAAAAACCCGATGTTTAATTGGATGCATTTGATCTAAAATCACATAGGCTTACTGAACGCCAGAGAAAAATCCATACTCTAACAATTGAATCTCAAGAATATTGTTTATTGCTTTTGAAGATATTACTCTTTGCTCATTTTTTGTTTTAATCATCCTTTCTGTTTTAAATTTCACAATAAAACAAAGAAAAATCTTTACTGTTAGGTAGATGGTATTTTTTTTTTCCTTTTCAGTGTGTACACACAAATGCACAAAGTTCTATGTACAGATGAAATCTCCTTTAGTAAGGGCAAGTCGAGGGCACCAACTGTCATGTAACAACTCTTTCTATATTCTAGAATCAGATAATAATTTCCCAAAGAATTGTAATAATATATCCTTGAATGTTGTTGGCACAGGTTTGGCAAAACCTTACTTTTATTTTGCCTTTGTATTAAACTTGTTCTAGGCCTTGACTGAATGGTTTTCAATGTTAAATCCATTCATCAATGTGTGTCATTCTGCTCCTATGCATTGTCTTTACATTCAGATTGGATGTTCATATCAAACTTAAATATTAGAATGAACACTGGTTAAAAAAATGAGCAGATGCTGCAACTAATATTATTCACACTTGATTAATTATAGTACATCACCACTGGGTGAATGAATTATTGAAAGATGAGACTAGCAGCATAACTCAGTCCAGTAGGGTCATCAACTTTTCTGAGGTATCTGGAGAAAATTTCCACAGGGCACATTTAGAGGGAGCATAATATTTTCTGCACACCTCCCTGTCTAAACTCTATTCGTATGAGCAATGTGAAAACAATGCTCCTTCTTGGTCAACTTTGGGTCACTACACATATACTTATCCATTTCCCTGTCTCATATATCACTCTTCAATTAGGTAGAGAGTAAAAGGACACCAATACAACTATTCCATATAGTAATAGTAATTAAACATAATGTACACAATAATAAAATATGTACAATGAAATAGATACAAACTCTAAATATTCACTGACATGAGCAGTATTGACTCTGTCTCTCATTCTCAGGCTCATAAAGTTTTTGGACATTTTAAAAAAAGACATTGACTGAACATGAAATTTGAACGTTAAAATAAATAAATAAATAAATAAATAAAATGTCTCTAAAAAAAAACCTATGAAGGGCTTTGAAAAATATAACCACAAGATGGCAATGTTTGACCATATATTTTTCTGAATCGGCACAATAAAACAAAAGTGCTTTATTGCAACACTGAATCACCTTAAAATTACTATCAGTGTTGCCATTATTGCATTTTGCTTGTGTTACACTGTTCAGCTGAACACTGTTTTGCAGAGCTTAGCATTAACTTATGGAAAAGTCTGTGAAATACATGCAGCAGAACAAACTTACTGCCTGTCTCAGCATGGCCAGAATGCGGTGCAATTCAGAAACTGGTGATAAAAGATATGCATATTCCATTACTGTGCTGTCTTGGCTATAAAATATCTCTGTTTCTGAACAGAGATTAGAGAATGAGAATTATTTAGATATTTAAACATTCTAATATGAAAAGCTATTTGTGTGTGTGTGTGTGTGTGCTGCACTTATACTCTCAGAATGACAAAAACTAAGATTGCATTGAGAGTCTCATTGTATGATACAGAAATCGAAAAAAGCAGAAATTGAAAGCTCTGATATTGGAACTGCATGAGTGGCTTGGGTGGACACCGGAACAGAGGAAGGGGGAAAATGAAATGGGAATATACAGCCTTATTTCACAAATGCAGGAATACACAGACAAAAAAAGAGAACCTGCAAGACATCAAAAATCACACAACAGAGCATATTAACTGTGAGCAAGTTTCAGTGTCTCTGTTTCCCTTTGCCGGTCAACAATACTGAGGGAGGGAGAGAGGGATGGAGGCAGGGATGATGGTGGAGGAGTCAGGGGTCCCATACTTTTGAGGGAATGTGGAGACACAGGTGGAGGAAGAGAAGAGACAAGGGGCAGGACTCCCCCGAGACCCCCGGATTTGGCCTCTAGAAGGTGTGAGCGACCACTCAGCCCTGGCCCCTTCCTTAGAGGGAAGTCCGGTTCGTTCTCATTCTCCGAGCTGCAGTCGCTCAGGTCTGTGATCTCCAGCTCAGAGTCAGACTCTGGATCCTGCTTCACACCCTTTCTCCGATCGGAAGGGCTTTGACGGCCTCCTCCTCCGCTTCCCACACTGAGCCCACCCAAACCCAATCCCAATCCTAGGCCTAACCCTAAACCAAGACCTCCACCTATGACACCGGTGTTGGTCTCCCCTCTTTCCCGGTCGCCTACAGCCGTACCCCCGTTCCCCAGCTCAGTCCGACCCAGTGGCACGCTCCCTGGGTACGGTGGGATGCAGAGTCTTGGGGGCTGACCGTTAGTTCCTCCCGTTTGACCATGTTCTGCCCCGGTCGTGTCTCCGGGGGGTAAGAGTGAAGAGAAGGGGTGTGGTAGCTGAGACAAGCTGGACTGGAGCGGGTTTGGGTAGAAATGTGAGGAGTAGAGGGAGCCTGGAGGCAATTTGGGACAGTTGTTTAGAGAAAAGGCCCCTGGGAGATAGGGGTTGAAGCCCCAGGGGTAGTCAAAAGCCGGGTTCCGTGGGTAAGGACCCAACAGGGATGGAGGTTTGGAGTAACAAGGAGCCCCTGTGGGAGAAATTGAAAAACATGGAACGGGAACCAGTGTTAATGTTTAAGATCAGATGTTAGACACATGATTGAGAACAGAGAATGCGAGGGAAAACTAGAAGGACATTATGAATCATATCAAAAACTTAATATATATATAATTTTACTATATGATGAAAATTACTATATCATCATAATGATAATTACTATATCATCATATAGTAATATTTCATCAGCCATTACTCCAGTCTTCAGTATCACCTGATCCTTTACAAATCATTCTAATATGCTGATTTGATTATCAAAAACATTGCTAAGGTTATACAGTTTTTTTTGGACACGTTGAAGGATATTTTTTTTTTGTCATGGATTCTTCAATGAATAGATAGTTCAAGTGAACAGCATTTATTTGAAATAGAAATGTGTAACTTTATAAAAATCTTTACTATCAATCACACACACACAAATATATATACATATATATATATATATATATATATGACAATGTAAGGTAAAAACAAACCAAGCAAGCTTATTTTTTCAGATCCTAATATGACATGAGAGTTGATATGCCTGATTTCACACTCCTAATACTTCACATGCTTTACACTTAAATTAAAAAAAAAAAACATTTAATAATTTTCAGCCGTATTCACAGTATACTTCCTTTCAGTCTTTCTTTCTTATTTCTCCCTCTCTTTTTATCTCCACAGCCACTCTCTGTGTTATTTGCTATGCAGGGCTAATTTGATAGTGCTAGAGAGTGTGTGTATGTAGGGCCAGGAGTAGCTGGCAGACACATGAATATTGAATCAGTCAGGCAGGCCTCACTTGCTTATGAAAACACAGTAATGGGCGCCCACAGGCCACAAACTGAAGCCTGCACCCTCAATTAGGGCCTTCCTGCTTGGGAAGGGATTAGGACAGGTACACATGGGAGGCAGAGAGGGGTAAGAAAAGGAGGAGGGCGGAAAAGGACCTCAGGACAAACAGAGTTGAAAGAGGGGGGCCTTTTGGGGTGGGGAGTCGCACTGACATACTCATGCCCTTGTACATTCTGATACACTGATATTTCAATGTACATTCAGAACATCCGAAAAAAAGGATGATATGTAGCCCTACATGATAACCCTCACAGAGAAAGTGCTAAAATACAAGAGCAAATGTCAAGAACATACTGATAACAGTGTGAACTAATCAGTTATATCTGAACTCAACACACTTTATTTCACTGCTCTAAAAAACGAAGAACATTCCCTAATTAGCGTTAATCTATTTTCTCTTTTTCTTTTGTTAAATTTGTGTCTCACCTGAGCCAAGGAAAGGAAAAGTGTCCAATCTCAGCTTGTCCCCATCAGGCCCTGGGGCCCCTGCACCGCGCTCAAACAGAGAGTGCCCTCGACCCGATTCAGGCAAACGAGGGAATAAAGACTGAAGGGCCTGGGAGAGGTTGGGATAGAGAAAAGACAGCGTGTGGGGATCATTAAACAGTGAGAAAATTTTGTTTAATAAATTACATGACTTAATTTTTAATAATGTATATTACACTAACATATAACAGTATTGATAATATAAATTCAAATATTGTCCATTTAACATTTATGAATTTTATTAAACATTTTATTGGGATGTTTAATATGTACTGCTAAAAATAAGTGCACGAACAGACGAAGAATTCACTGCTGTAAATTTACATTCAAGGGCTGATAAGAAATGTGAAACTATCATGACATCTTAAACACTGTCTCCGAAACCTTAAAGAAAAAAAAACTTGTCTTAAAAGACTTCACAATATGTCAATAAAAGTACAGGTCACCAGGAGATCCAGGGCTTTTTACCTCACCAAATGTGGAACGGCTTTTGGGAGCAGATTAAAAAAGGGTGGTGGGGGATAAAGCTCAATAAAGAAAACCTGGAAGTCATTGCAAGAATCTTAGCAGATGAACGCCATAAAGATGTTCTCTTTTTTTATTATTAGTGACATGAAGGTGATCAATAATTTCTGTCACTCATCTCTTTTCAGTGAGAAAGGCAGGCCTACACTTCGAAGCAACGTAATCTGGATTGCTTAACAAAACCGCATTAATTACATGGCACTGATCTGACAGCCCCAACTTCTCTTTCATTTCTCACATGTCTTTCATTTTCAATCAATGCCAGTGATGAGTACGCCTTCAAGACTGGGATAAGAGGAAAGGGATAATGTCTTCTTTTGTTTTAAGGCTGCTTAACGCCATCTTTGACATTCCCTCTACTTTCTTCTTCACCTCTAGATCTTTCCCTTCTTCTCCAGTCTCCTCTAGTACAGCAGATAACTTTCTCATAGAATGACCTGGGTAGATATACTTTGCAAGGCTAAAGTAAAATAAGAATATTAATAAATAATAATTTGTTCATAATTTACCACCTTTTTATTCTTTTAACCCATTTATAATTTCAGATTTGACTAAACATTTATTGATAAAAGACTCTTTGTATTCAAGCAGGGCACATGTATGCTTTGCCTCTAGTATTCAAATGATAACTATTTTAGTTCAAGTTTAACAACGATCGAAAACAAATAAGTGCTGAACACCAATGCTAGAGCAATACATACAAAATATATTCCAACGTACTGATTGGCTCTGTACAATCAATAGCCTGATCCCCCACATAAAGCTACAGAAAAAGCCTTATACAGTATGGATAGTAAAAGAAAAAAAAGCTTTATTATCACAGAGCACGTCAGCCCTTCAGCCCTTCTCATTTTATTGAGATTGTTTCTTCTGTTGTCTGTAATCACACATGTATTCGCTCATACCTCGGGTGTGACAGGGCTGCAGTCCGGTGTGGCTGTTCCTCCATTGAAGTGGTTCTGGGCCAACAGGAACGGAGAATTGGCCATGTCCAGCAGAGGGTAATTCACCAGAACCACCTTACTGAAGTTGAACTTGTAGGTGAAGCGCTTGCCTTTAGTTTTGTGCAAAATGCGTTTGTTGTAATAGTACCTGCAGGATGGAGAACAACAGAAAATACAATAAAATAAGCTGTAAATGTTTCTAAAAGAAAACACGACTATCTGTGCATGCAAGAATGAATGATTACAGCGATAGATCACCCCCAAAAAAGTCATCATTTACTTTATGTCGTGCTATTTCTTTTGTAGAACAATTTCTTTTGTGCATACAGTAGGGTAAAAAGTAGTTTTGTTCTTCAAGCCATTCAGATTTGGAACGACATTAGGATGTATAAATCATGACACAGATTTCTATCGCTTTAAAGCGGGGGGGAAGGCTGCCTTCACCTCCACTGAAACATTTTCCAGGGGGCCTTCATGGAATGCCAGCCTTGTCAGCTGCCTGTTCTGCACGGCGATGACCGCTTAGATTTCCCTCAGCATCACACGGCGGCATATCAGTCAGTTGGAAATAAGAGATGGATCTATACGGAGTCTTTTCCGCTGCCCATCACCCGTTTGCGCTCATCACGAGTGTCAGAATGCTTTGAGGATGCTCACCTGTGCATGAGAGCGAGGCTCTTTAATCTCAGCACACTTTATGCTTGACTTCACTTTACCCGATCCAGCAGCCTACACGAGTTCCCGTGATGCAATCTGCTGGCACTATAATTTGTAAGCTTTTATTTTATGTGGCAATTGTGCCCCTTAATTGAGCAATTAAGCAAGGCTAATCAACGAGGCTAATTATGGCCTGTGCCTATTCATAACAATTAGCAGCTAGCGACAGCATCTATTAAAGGGATGCTGGGGGAGGGTATGAGGGGAGCAGAGCGATAAAAAGCGGGATGAGAAATGGCTGAGCGAATGTGCATGAATAAGAGCAGAAGTACTTCAACCAGGGTCAAAGTTCATCCCTGAAAAGTTTTATGTTGGAGTTTGAAAAAAGAGATCTGATACATGGAATATCGGTGAGGTGCGAATCAATTTTAGACTTAATTTCAAAATCCCCATCGACGACTATTCTTCATATGAGCCTCTTGCCGGAGAACATCCAGAATCCATTTAGATGTTCAAAGATTCCACAAATTGGACTGTATTGATGTTTTTTTGGAGGGAAGGCAGCACTTAAAATATACACATACTATCAAGCATCAAGCAACCAAGGTTTTTATACAGGATATTATGTGAGGAAAAAATAAATGATGTTCCCCCCCATAAGATGCAAGATAAAAACACACACAAAGAAACAGCCCAATGTGTACTCAATAAAGCACATCATATAGAATATACATATTGCATGAGAGAACAATAAAAGGCAGCAATTAAGTATTAACACAGAAAACAATCCTTTGAATATGAAACCCACACATGCTGTGCATACCTAAGTGCTCGACTGAGCTTGTCGTAGTTCATGTGAGGTTTGCACTTCCGAATGCCCCACAGTCTTGCCACCTCGTCTGGGTCTTTGATCACAAATTCACCATAGTCTCCCTGCCAGGCAATCACCCCCTGGTATTCCTCCTTCTGCAGAAGCTCCAGGATGAAGTGCCACAGCTGGATCTGCCTGGAGCCTGGGCTTGACTCTGGCTTATAGGCCCAGTCTGGGAAGGCGATGCCTGAGGAAAGGGAGGCAAGTAAGTGAAAGGATTTGGATAAGGCCTGTTGGTTTTGCTACTCGCTAAGAGCATTCCTGTCTAAATAACTGATGAAGCGATGGGTGGTTCAATAGGGTATTTTCGGTAGGGTAGTTAGTCTATGTTTTATTTAATTGATTTTGATTACATTTTGATGCAGGGTTTACATGTACTAAATTATTGTTCAAACTTGCAGCAAACCACCTGTGATGACAACCAGGAACAAAAAATGACTATCAATTCTATCCTTTTTTTTGAAATTGAATTTCTACAACAGTTATTTCTGGACATTGAATTTGATTGGCTAAGCTGCATTCTTTGACTTTATACTGTTTGTCTCGAAGACTATCTACACAAAATCAGTCTATACGTTTAGTAGTTGAGATTTTTGAAGTCCCTCTGTGGTGAAAATCAAGTTTTTTAATGTTGTTAATGTGTCTATGTGGTCAACACCATTGCTGAGTTTTTTTGTTCTTAAAACGCCAGTAAACCAAACAGTCTCAAAAATGGGGTTTGAAATTGCTGGTGTTTCTTATGTCACAAACTACCTTGTACCTTGTACATTGCTCTATGCTCAACTACGAACTCTGAGTTTAAAGAGAAGCCAGGTTATTCTTGTATATTTTATCTGTTGATATAAAAAATTGGGTCATTTTAGGTAAAAAGCGTGTATTACGATGTTAAGATGAACTATTTGCTTTTCTACACTGAGAAGTTGTTCAAAGCATTTCTGATTTTTAGAGCTATCTGACTCTGAGATGGAGAATGGGAACTTGATTTGTGTAAAATTAGCAACACATTTTGAGCTGTTTGATAACGTATCAAGCAAAAGGCTAATCCTATTAATTACCTTTATCAGACTTTGTAAAGAGCAATACCCTTTTGCCACATTTACTACAGTAAAGTTGAGTTCATCTCGGAGCTGGCCTGAGTGAGTGGAGGCGGGGCTAATTTGCATATTCATGATCCGTGTTTACTAAATGAAACAAGAGTGTAGTTACATTCAAGCTATTTTAAGACATGAATAAAAAAATCACATGAATAAACCTTTAAATATGTCATTTTGGTGATCAAAGATGAGTTTTAAGGGATATAATTATTGGGGGGCTTTAAGGGATTCTTTCTGTAAGTTACATCATTATGCCAGTAGGTGGGTGAGTGAGTCATTCGAATCATTCATTCAACCAATTCATTTGAAACACTGATTTATTTAGGAAAGAAACAAGTGACTGTCTGAAAGCTGGAAAATGCAGGAAGGCCAGATCCAATGACTGTGTCACGCCCTGTTCACTGAGATTCCTACTGTACATCAGATGACTGCCTTTATTACCCCACAATTCTTTGCGTACCATTTTGTGACAGTAGAGCTAAAAAATGTCTATGGCATCTGGAAATTGCAGTTGGTTGTCAGTTCGTGTAAATGTAAATATGAAGAGTTCAGATGCAAAATTTTCTTCTTTAATGATGATTTTTATCAAACTTGTATATTTAAGTTCAGTAATTTCACTTAAATAACAATTAATAGGTAATTATCATTGCCATTTAAGTGAAATCACTGAACTTAAATATACAAGCTTGATAAAAAATGATCATTCTAGAAGAAAATTTCAAATGTCACTTATAGGGGCTTTTGCATCTGAACTCTTCATATTTTACCTTTTCACACTTTTCATTTAATTTCTAACAATAAATTACTATAGTAGTAATAAAGTATTCGCTTAGTTATCTCCAGAGCTCTGTCTATTTGGTTGTAGATCATTAAACCGTTAAACACTGCTTCAGAAGTCTGTCCAAAATCAGTTTTGTGAGGCACCTTCATGCACAAACAGCCTGATATAAGGCAGTAAGGCAACAAGTCAACTGCCTAAGGTTTTAGACGCAGCCTGTTATAGTGAGTCAGTGAATAATTTACTTAACCAATTCGTTCAAAACACTTTTTTATTGAGCAACAAAACACTATTACTGTGGGTTGTTAGGAGACGCGCATTGTCGATTCTGCCTTGGCTTTGTTTTGAATGATTTTCATTGTCGGAACAAAAAATAGACTGTCTAAAATGTAAGTTGCTTAATATTACCTTTCTGTTGAGTAAAGTTGTATAACATATTGTGTCATGCTGTTGGTTGGGGCTCTTGTTCATAATAATAATAATCAATGTAACATCTATGCATCATGAAAGTGAAGAAAAAGTCATTTAAGTTGGATGAAAAAAAAAACTTCTTCTGTCTCACCTGGTGTCCAGAGGGTTGGGACGGGTGGCGTGAGCAGCAGGTCACTAACACAGTTACAGTCCATACCTCCACTACACCTGCAGTCACACAAACCGACAATATTTGAGTGTGAAAAAATGATTTTCGGTTAGACCGCAGAACATAAGGCTAAAGCATAATACTTTGACTCATTTCACCCTCTACACACCAGTGTGTCGGAACACGCTGTTGTAAACCATGAGGGCATGTCATTCCGGTGGCCTCTGAAATCAATCAATGCCTTTTCATTTGAAGGGTTTCTTTAAATAAGGTTGCCGAAGGCTTTCCCTTCAGCCATGCAGAAGATCACTGCATTTTTTCACAAAGATCAACATTCAAAAGACCCCATCTCATGTTGAACATTTATGACAGTGTGTGAGGCCCTCAAGCAATTAGTCCAGGTTTCCATAGGTATCTGTTTGCACTTTAATGCATTACATTTTCATTTTGTAGCAATGATCAAAATACGAAAATGCACATGATATTTTATAATAATAATTTAAGCATTTTTCAGTTTCCACACGTTATGCACTGCAGTTGAACTTCATTTTCAACATGAAATGTTCACGTTGCAGCAAAAGGAAATAAACACGCCACGGTGGGCATGTGTTCATACAAATAACTTCAAAGCAGGATATCAAAAATCATTGAAGATTGCATCTGCTATCAGATCAACTGGGAGCATCAGTAAAGATCCATCTCTCCATGCAGCAATTCAGTATACATGGCTAGAGGAGTTCAATCTCTCCTCAGCCTTCACAATTTCATAAAGGTTGTTTTACAAAGCTCTGGAAGAAGAAGGAGCCGGTACAAGGGTATCTTTAATGCTGGTCTCTCCCCCTCTCCTCTCTCACTCTATTTAATTATGCTCTGTGAATTTTGGATCTTCCCTCCAGCATTGAAATGGAACGTGAATTATTGAGGTGTGTTTGTATAAATTATTATTGCTAACTCCAGGCACTTCTCTCTCACACACACATCCCCCCCCCCCCACCCCTCCCCTTTGCTTTTACTCTTTGGACTGTCCACTTGCTCGCCCCCACCCTTGCACCATCTACTTCTCATCTCGCTCTTTTTTTTCTCGTAACATTCATTTGTTGTTATTTCTTTAGTACAATATACTGTATACTCAATAGAACTGGTTTTACCCATTTCGATAGCTTTGCGAGGGCATAGAAATCTTGATTCAGACTTTGGGCTCACTTTTAAGATTTGTCTTACTGGGTCAGTCTTATACAAGACTATCAACTTAAAAATATATACTAGTTTAACACTATTAAAAGCAATTGTGCAACTGGTGCAGTCCAGATCACACCTGTAAATGAATTCATTTGTGAAATCTGTATTCAGAGCCTATCAGCCAGCCTATCCGATCAAAGGAAACCCAGCCTTACCTGCCCGTGCACCTAACTGCACCCTCTCTCTCTCTTTCTCTCCCTCTGTATGTTTTTTGCTCCCGCTCAGTAATTTTCCGTTTGATTTCGGAGGTAATGCATTTTTTACAAATCAAAGAGGAAGCCAGGACGCCCCACCCTCCCTTTCCCTCGATCTCTTTCTTTTGCCCTGCTCGTCCCCTCCAGGCTAGTGAAGAGATAAAGGAGCCCCCATCATTTCCTTGTTAGTTTTGATTTGGGCAGCACAGGGCTTTCAAGTTCTCCCCATCACCCCCAGAAACATTATAACTAGCAGCCAAGGGAATACATCTTCTCACAATCTCCTAGATATGAAGACACTGATTCAGGGAGTGCACAACCACCGCACACACCAAACAAAAAACACTCAAAAAAGATTCACATAAACAGGGCAACACAACATAACACCTTTGCCCACGACACCATGCTCAAATGTACTCTTGAGAAAAGTAAAACTCTTCTGTAACAGGTCAAAGTCACAAACTAGAAGCTCACATTTATATCGTCTGTGAGCATACAAACACAAAGTATGATGATCAAAGTAAATAAAAGTGGAAGAAAATTAAAGAAAGTTACATTTATATCCCTTAAATAATTACTACAGTCTCAGTCTCATCTGGATTATTTATTGTTAATATTTTTCTCATCTGGATTATTTATTGTTAATATTTATGTGGAACAGATTTTATGGTTTAATACTTAAATACTTTGACCGTTTGTTAAATCATTTTAATCATTTAGTAAATCTACGTTTTGTAATGCTGTGGGGATTCAAATAATTCAAACTTAATGCCATGGAAAAATGATTTACGCTAATCTTATAGCACAAAAACACCAAGAAATAATAAGTCTGCTTTTATACATTATTATAACATTATTGCATTTAAACACATGCATTGATTACTCATTCATTATGGAATGGCCATGCCCTACAGATTTAACACGTTTACCCCTGTGACTAATTACATTTTGTGAAAAGCTCTGCTGATTGCACATTAATGCTTCGACAAAACAGGGCTGCTGGAAACAATTTTGTGTTATGGGTTGACCACAAAATAAAATGGTGTTAATAAGGTAGACTAAAGAGTTGAGGAAAAGAGAAAGAAGTGAGCAACAGATGGCAGACATTGTTTCAAGTTGTGAAAAAGATGGACAGCAAGGTTCTGAAACTGAGATGAGGGAATGTGATGAGTCTCGTCCCTCTCGCTCTCTTCTCCCAGGACATGAAACAAACCCTCCGTATCTGTGTCATCTTTCTGTTTCGGGCTGCCACTGAAAAGGGACTTACTGAACACCCTCGCCCTTCTCTCTCCCCCCACTGCTCCTTCCTCTTTCCCTCTTTTACTTTTTCTCCATCTCTCGATTTCTCTTGACTCTACTCTGACAGTCTGCACAGCCTCAGGGTCAAAGAACAGAAGGACTGGCTTGTGTGTTTGTTATGAAGAAGGAAGCAGGGGAAGAGAGGGGTAAGGGGAAATATGGTCAAGATGGAGAACTTGAGATGGGGCGCATCTGACAAATTGTGCACACGATACAAAAATGACAGTTCATGTAAACACATAAACATGGAAATATTTTCAGGTGGTTCACAAAATGTAACAAATGTACATATTTATTCAAAATTCATAATAACTCTTAACAACCCATATAGGGGAGAGATCTTTGTCTCTCGGCTCGAGCATGCAAAGATGATCACGTTAAATTCTCTACAAAAGTTTTGGATGCTTCTTGTAAGGGGTTTCTATAAAGGGAGTGTTATAAATGTATTTCATTTCATGTTCCATGTTATGCCTGTTATTTGAATTTGCAATTTGAGAGAGACCAGTGTTTCATTGCACTGCATGAGTGTCTCAGACATTGACATTATCATATCTGTTTCGCATCGATGTAGAATTTGTTCTTAAACTGTGTAAATAATGTCAAGTATTAACATTAAACTAACATCCACTAAACTTTGTGGAATCATTTATTGTGGTGATCAAATGTAGGCCTACAGTAAATCAAGTTTCATTTTTAAACATTTTATTAAAAAAAACAGTATGGAAACAAAAAGAAATATCTGCCTAAATGTAGCAATTGAAAATATTTTGTAAACATTCTATATATTACATACACAGACTTTCTACTGTCACCTCAGAAGGGTGGTCATGCATTATACTGATTTCAACCCTGTAACAAATTTCTAGTTGGTTACGTGACGTGAGTTAAGACGTCATACCTAACCCGTCACCTAACTGACGTTAAAGGTAAAGCGTCAGTTGTATGACGGCCCGGGATCGCCATCTACCGACGTTTAAGGGGGCCCTAAAAAGGCGGATATTGACGTATGATCAAAATACGTCCCAAAACGTCAGTTATATGACTTTTTGGGATGAGACTGTGTTACTCACCCCCGTGTTTACACCACTCTCAAGCGATCACGTTTCCTAACACTTCAAAGTTTCTTTAGATACGAAACCCAATAATTGAGATAATAAGATAAGGAGGCCGTGAAAGCGAGGTTTCGGTGGTGCTTGGCACTTGCGGATGAGAAAACTGAGGAAACTTGTTAAAAAGGAGAGAGATGGAACAGTACTTGCTTAACTTTAGGATAGATGATAGAAGCGAGCGTGCGATGGTAGCCCACCAGTTTCTTATAGAACATCGGACTTAAGATACAAGGAAAAAGGGGGGAAAATACGGAGAAAAAGTATCAATCGATAGGGTTAAATTATTCATCGTCATTAATTATCGATCGCTCTCCGTTGCCGACTTGTCTGCCTCGTGCGAGAGTTGAAAGGAGGGAAAGCGCGCTTTATTAAAACCGGCTCGAGCCTCATTGTTTCATGTCCCGCGGCAAAGAAAAAGCTCGAGCTTGGTTCTGCCCGCGCCAGTGAAAAATACACACACACACATATATCGCCCCCCTTAAAGCTCCTTTTCTCTCCTCGCTCGCTTTCCCTCCCGATGCGCGGGAGAGCTTTGGGGAGCCTCGTACGGTGTTCACGGGGCGGCTGTGTCTCGCGTGGATCGATGTGGGATCAATGGCTCTCGCTGACTAATAGCCAGAGAGCGCCTTTGATCTCGCGGCTGAGAGATCAAAACCTGCGCGAGAGGGAAGAGAAGGAAAGAGAAAGAGGAAAATGCGCGGGAGACCGAGCGGACCTTAAACTTCACACAAACACGCGCGCTCGTACTTAGATACATCTGCCGTCGTCTTGTGAGGTGACATCATAACGTAGGTAGCCTATATTGTCAACGTTTGATTACTTTCCTACAATGAGCCCTGAGCAGGTAGGCTGCCCTACAAAAACAGGATAAACAAGCTAATTTAGTGAGTTCAGCTGCATGTGACTCTGTTTCAGGGAAGTCAGCATATGCACCAACACTGTGGTAACTCCCAAACGAAATAAAATATTTTAAAAGAAACTTCTTTCAGTCTTCGCTAATTTCCCCCAGTAGACCTAAAATGTACACAAGTGTTAATCTCGCGTCATAATTTAAATCTTCATGTCTGTATCTCTTTGTGCATTTTTAAAAATCAATTTTACGCGGAAACCCATGACACATTAATTCTGATTCCAATTATTGTTTAAATGGTGCATCAGGGAACTTTTGGGCTCTGGCTCTGCTTGATGTTAATTTAAAATGTGTGGAAAGCTAATTAA